AAACAACGTCAATATTAAATATTTTATTAAATTCCTAAAATTCCCTTATATTTAATTTTTCTGAATAAAATGTATAAAATAAAATTAATCTGACCGGCAGTAAATCAAAATGAATTTTATAAAATTTAATAGCGATGTTTAAAGTAAATTGCAATTCGATTTAATGCCGAACCAATAATTATTGTCTGCACTGTTGCCAGGTAATTAATTACAAATAAATGCAAAGATATTAGCATGATCGCTCTAAATAGTTCATTTATTTTGTAATTATTTTTGGCCAATATCATACATTAATTTGCAAAAATGGTGAATGTGCCGGGAAACTGATAGAATATGAAAACCAACTTTTGATATCTTTATTTCCAAAAACCTAAATTAAAGAATAAGAACTATTTTAATTTATTTTCATGTATTTTCTATTTGGGTCATAATATTCTAATTTAAATTAATTTGTTAAATGAGCTATTTACTTAATAAAAACCCAGATATTATGTGTAAGTGCTCTTTTGTTTTCAAACTTAAATAGCAACATTTATTTGGCAATAGAACTAGTTTTGTAATTTAATTAGGTAAGAAGTTAATACAATACTAAAAGATTTTCACAATTTTGTTTTTTTACATAAATTTAATATGAACAGCGATAGGAGCTAATTTATATAAAAATTTAAATGAAATATTGACTTTGTTTTATATTTTTTATTAAAATATTAACCCACCAGTATGAAATCATACAGTTATTAAATTTATATTTTAATTACAAATAATTAAATTCCAAAACACAGAGGAAAAATCCGCAGCGATAAAACTCATAAAAGGTAAAAATTTTATTTTATAAAATTATTGTTTAATTTCATTTAAATAAAGGCGTTTTCTTCCTACGGTGAAGTTTACCATCTCCATAGCAACAAAAAAGTAGGTTGAGCCTGGAACCTGGAGGGTAATTTTTTGTTTACTTTTGAATAGATGGCGCTGCAATAATATGTTAAATTTAAATTTAAAAAAATAAGATTTTTACGATTGCAATTAATTTTGTTTTATTCTTTCTATAAGAAAATTGTTGTCAACCGTATAACAATTTTCATATTATAACACTCATAAGTCTATATAGAAACGCAGTTCAAAGATAAAATTTGTACAATAATGAAAATATATTGAAATAACATAAAAAGATGTCGAAATTTGCTGTCCACATTTTTATTATTTTTTTGCAGTAACGTTTTGTGGACAGAACATGGTAAAGTGATTTTTTCAGGCATTAAGATGTTTATTTTTTCAGCCTGGAAAAATCTTACCGCCTAGGTCTACAATTTAATATTTTTTTCCAGCGTACAATAATTTTCACATTATATCAGTCAGTTTAACCTAACATTTTAATTATAAGACAGAATCTTAAGAAATAATTTAATTAAATGGTTAAAAAAAATTGTATATAAAACCAGGCGCCAAAAGCTAACTAATTGCCTCGCACAAAATATATGTAATGAAATGTATGCTTGGCGATAATATAATATTGAAAGCACATATATGGGCTTTCTTTGCCTGGTTTGTGCACGTTTGCAGACCTTTTGAATTCTATTTGTCGATAATGCATTAAAAATTTAGGCTGGAGTAACCATAAAACAATTTACTTTTACTGTGAAAAACTGCTTCTACATCGGATTTAAACGGTTGATAGTCCATTATCAAGGAAGATATTTTGATTTGTACAGAAAAATCGTTCGTGTCCAATTAAAATTCGTAACTAAAATGGCGTTTATCAAACTTTATTCATATTTAAGTATTATTAATAATATGCTACAGTTTCTGTACATCTGGTTTTGCAGGATTTTTATGCCATCATTTCGTTTGACATATTTTTTAATAAAACACTCCAGCTTATATTGCTTACTTCTAAATAATTAAAACCATCTAGACTGCCACGCTACACCCTCCTAAAATATGGACACAATTTTTCACAGGTATATAAAAATGGCTCGGTTATGATGAAGCGGTTCATTTCTTCGTCGTTTTTCACATCTCCGGTGTGGGATGCCCAGCCTGCTACGAGTACGGAATCCTAAACAACTCGGTTAATCACGTTGGCCGCAAACACGGCTTGCTTTTCTCTCTGTAATTGTCTACGGAATAAAAACCGTTTGATGAGGATAAAAACCGGTCATCAATTAACGTGGACGATACGAAATTACCCGCCAGTTTCGTTTCATTTTGCCGCACTATGGTTGTTCTCAAACGCATCCGTTGTGGGAATTAAGGGAATTCAAGAAGCTTACGAACTGCACATAATTTTGATATAGTATAATAGATAGTTTTTTCAAAAAATAGAGGAAGGCATTAGTCGTACTCGACAAATTTTGTTCGCATAGTTTCAATTGCACAGCTAAATCGCGCACGTTATTTGTGTTTTGCGTTGCAAGTAAAAACTGCAAAACTTTGGTTTGGTACTCGATTTCTATTAATTATTCCTTACATCATTGATCAATAAAATCAACGCTTATATGCTTATATAGTTACGTTAGTGTGCGTATTTTATCTAAGTATTTATGGTATTTATTGTATTTTTAATTGTTAATATAATTCAAGAACTAAATCGTTGAATTTTTATGTTTTTCCAAAGAATTTAACATAACCTTAAAATCAAAATTTTTAAATTTATATCATCTAAAAAAACGCCAACTGTATTTTTAAATAGTAAACGACAAAAAAATATCTACGAATTCATGGTAACATAATATTATATACAGTCATGTTATTAATGTAATATATTAAAATACTGAATACCTTTGACCTAAGGTGTAAAGAAAAAATATTTTCCCAAATATAAATAAAAAATATTAATTAAAAGTTTTTTATATTTTTTGTGATACGCCACTGTTTATACAATTGCGTTCTGTGAGTACATAGATACCAACCAACAAAGAAACTGCGCGTTGCCAGTTGTAAAAAATTGTTCCTAAAAATTTTTCTTGTAAAAAAGTAATAAAAATACAAAAGTTTTATGCCCTTCTGTGTTTATTTACTCATCCAGCTATTAGCTTAAGCAATGATTAGAAAATTTAGTACCTATTTAAAATCAAAATTAATTTTTTATCGGTTTTTATCTTTTTGTTTACTCAGATGAAATTAGTTCACAGGTTAAAGTTTAAACATTCAATTTGTGTAAATAAATTCAAAAGCACTTCTCTTAGTTAGAATATTTACAATTTGAGCACATAACATACAATTTGAAAAAAAAGCACTAGATTCTTTCATAAAAGTTGCCAGATTTTGTTTGAATTTATCTTTATTACAAAAATGACATCATCAACAATTAATAAAACGCCAAATTAACAATTTGCATTGTTAAATTTGTAATTTTTGTAATTAAGCTAAATTTAAACAAAATCTGGCAACTTGTTTTGACAGAACTGGAAAAAGCTGGTTATTACCAACCATAACATAATAAATTAAATTAGGCAACCAGATTAACCTAAAGTTCCTAGTCGATCAGTGGCGTACTTTTTGGTAGGATAAAGGTTATTATAATTTAATTTAGTCTTTAGAATTTAGAAAAAAAGTTTCAGGTGCTTCTTTGTGGACCATAAGAAACTACTTACCGTTGAGTGAAGACTTTCTCAATCAACGCTTTTAATAATGCATAACTCTGTTTGAATTTAAAATTTATTTGTTTTATGATTTTTACTGAATTGAAATGTTTACAATTTTCACGTAAAAATAACTAAAATGTGTATTTATTGTATCTAATGGGTAGAATTTATATTTACAGGGAATTGGAAAACCGATTAAACTCAATTTAGGATTTCCTCTCCAATAACACAACAAATCGTTCCACGTTTTTTTTCAATACTTTTAGCATTTTTCGGCCCTCTTCTTAAAAACTATGGTATAGCCTTTGTAAGAATCCAAAAATTAAACTAAGTGAAATAGATAATGACGCAAGTTTTTATGCTTTCCATAGGATTTACGAGTTCCTAACCTATGACAACTGACGCAAAATATGCTTGCACAGTGGGAAATAATCCACATTCATTAAACATTTACATTTGTGTTGATAATTGTTTTTTGTTTTGCATTCTCAGCTTTTTTTAGGTACTTTGAACAAAACCGTACTTACTTTTTATTGTTAGGTATCTAGATGCTTCCGTGGTTATCCCGTCGATTTTAAATTTCACCTTTCACTTTTTACTTCAATTGATGCTCATGTAGCTATTTTTTTAAGTGTTCATGTAGCCCAAAAAAAAAACAATGATGAAACAGTGACATCCAGTGGCTCCCTGGTTTTGTCAAAAGAAAATTCATAATTTTTTTGTTAAAAAACAGTAGCTCTAATGCAAAAAACTTTCTTGTTTTGGCGTGTACTATCTTCCCCCCAAAGCAGGCCCGGACTGGGACCATTTGGGGCCCTCAGCTAAAACCTGTAAAGGGGCCCTCTACCGGTGGTCTGGGAGGGTATGGAAATTTTTTGAAAATTAGGTGCTTGAAAACGCGTTTTACGCGATAATTTCAGCTAGGTTTTAATACGAATATTATGATTTTCGTTTTTTGTCACAGTATTTTTAGGATACCACAACATGTTGTGCACTACAAAACACATGCTGTAGAACTGCAAATAATTACAAAGGAGTTTAAAATAAAGTGCAGTATTTTATTCACACCAAAGTATAATGAATTATGTCAAAATTATTTGTGTAATAAAAATAATGTTATACGGATTTTAGGGATTAGAAAAATAATTTTTTATAATTTAATTAATTTAAAAAAAAAATCCTGTGTATTCAACAGTTTACAATATTGTTATACTAGAATAGAAGGGGCTTAACTTCCCTGGGATGATTCGACATTTTACTTCTCTAGCCCTAAAGTAACAGCTTCTTTGTAAGCAACTCACTTGTTAAAGCTACTTCATCTATTATTTTATTTTTGTCCAAATTATAAAATAAATCCCTCTCAACATTAATAAAAAGCAGACTGGACATAAGGTCTTGACCTAAAGACGACCGAAGTCAATTTTTGACTATTTTAAGTTTAGAAAAAACTCGTTGACATGTGACTTGGGTACAAGGTATGGCAAGAATAAATTTATATGCAATATACAGGTTGGTAAACAGTCCAGATTGAGTAAGTTCAAACAGAACAGAAAAAGCACATGTCAAACACTGGAAACATTGTCTATTTTTAGAGCAGTAAATATCAGCATTTTTTTCCGATTCTTCGGTTGGGTCCAAATCGTCTTCTTCGTCATTACATCTGTCTCCGTAGTTCTCAGTGGACTCTGCCGCTATGAAGTTGCTGTATTGTTGTGCAAACTGTCGCAGCTCCATCAACAGTCGACTTCTTTCAATTTTACACAGTTTAGAAACACTGCGCAGGGCTTCTGTGGGAAATGTTTCGAGTTTCAAGATAGAGTCAAACTTTTTGGGGTCTAACCAAGAGCAATCCTGTAAAACGTCTTTGTTTGCGCAAAATCTTTCTTCAATACTCATCCTCGCACAGTCTAAAATATCAAAATATACAACTTTGTAATGTTGAACTGTTGAAATAGAGTCAGCTTCTTTTTTTTGATTTTTCACCGGGCATCAATTTTTTCTTTGACGTTCTTTTTCTCTTAAAGTCCAACTCTAACTCGACATCAATGTCATTTTCGTCTAGCTTAAGATTAACTGCACTTGCATAGGTTTTTGTTTTTGCGTACAATACTTCAAAATGCGCGTCATTCTTTTTGTCCTTAACTTGCTGGAGCAGTGTTTGTACTAATTTCCAAGCTAAAGCATAGTCAATGGTTTTACTTTGCAAGTACTAAAACAGGGGAAGTGACCAAAAACAAATCTAGTAAAACAAACGACATAAACAAGTTTTCAAATTTGGACCATTGATTTATCAGGTTTCTTGCTGTGAATCGAGATTTGCCGTTAAAACTTCCATCAGAGATTTCTTTAAAAACAGAAATAAAATTGAAGAATTTTGCGAAATTTACACTCACTGATTAAGAATTCTTCATCAACAATTGATGAAAGAGCCTTATGTTTGCTCCACCACCTTGTTGCTTCTATTTTTTGCACTCTGTAAAACTTGTCATGAGCAGTATGTTTTCTTTTTGTTTCCTTTTCCCAGACGGCCATTCTCTTGTGCGATGAGCTAAGAAATAGCGCAGATTCTTCCACCAACCCAAACAAGTTCTCAGCTTGTAGTAACTTTACTGTTGAGTCCGCTACAACTAGGTTAAGTACGTGTGCCATACAGTGAGTATAAATAAGGTCTTTATTTTCTTTTTTTAAATAGGCTTGTAGCCCATTGTAACAGCCTTTCATGTTGTTAGCTCCATCAAACGAACAAGCAATAATATTTGACATTGCAATGCCATACTCAGATAATTTTAATTTTATAAGCTCGTACAACGCAAGTCCACTTGAGTCATTTACAACTGCAATCTCTAAAAGTCTTTCATACACTTTTCCTTGAACGACATAGCGGACGCATATTGCCAATTGGTCCATGACAGCTATATCTTGGGTGCTGTCCACCATTACGCTGTAGATGATGCTATCCTGGAGGTCTTTCAAAATAATGTTTCGACCCATCGAGAATTATCTTGATTAACTTGTTAATGAAAGTCTTTGATAAAAAAGTTAACATTGATCCTCGTCCAATGGGCTTTTTAGATTGCATTCCTGTGGCTTCTCTTTTGTCCTTTATTTTTATTCTGTGCTTTTTGCTGTCTTCGATACATTTTTTTACATGGGTTTGCAAAATTACATCATAATTAGCCACCAACATGACCAGTTCAAGGAAATTACCATGATTTTGTAAAGAATCGAGAGCGTAGGCTGCTTCTGCTTTGTCACCTCTGTAGGCAATGCCTTGCCTTCCTATAAACAAAACTATGTCTATCAAACGTTGGATAACCCATCTTCTAGTAACTCAACTCACAACACAGTAGCTCGTATAAAGCTTTCGTATAAACGGCGTGATATAAACAGTTGTTGGACGTGTTTTACTTTTGAAAATGTAAACACATTATTATACATTATGTGGGGACCCCTTTGGGGCCCTCTCGGGCAGGGGCCCTCCGCGATCGCGGACCTGCGGACCTGGCCAGTCCGGGCCTGCCCCAAAGAATGACAATTTTTAAGGGACACTCTGTATATAGGTTTATGGAAGTTTGACTTGATGTCAAGGATATAACCACTTATAGGTGGCACCACTGAAAATCTGTATTTTTGTTATAAGGTTTGTATTAAATGGTATAGACACTCTAGTCTATATATCTTGTTAGTTGACATCAATATAAATCGAGTTAGGAAAGCGTTTACTTTGCTCAGGTACTCAGCAAAATTGGGGGAATCGCATTAGGGCTTGGATAATTAGTCATACATTGTCGTAGAGATATGCACGACGGGTAGCGACTAGTCAGCGGTTCGTGAATATTTGCGAAGCGTTTAATAATAAAATCAATGTGGATGATTACAGACAATGGCTTAATGAGGTGTGGTCCAGATAATTGATGCCGTCTACGAAATAGCATATGACAACAATTGCAACTGAACAACATTTTAGCATCATACACAGTAAAAAAAAATCAAATCTAAGTGTTATTTTATAACACTACAATTAGAAGTAAGCAAGTATGATTTAACTCTATAGCACTGAGGATAAAGTAATTTTACACTATATTAAAAAGTGTTAATTTACGTAAAATCGTGAACTTCTACACTTCCTGGGTAAAATCCCACTTTTGTTCAGTGTAAATTAACACTACTTTGGAAAAGTTCTAATTTTAGAAAGGTACTTTTACTCTTTTGGTGCAAACTTCTAGTGTAAATTAGCACTATTATTTGAGTAAAACCTATTGGTGGTAGTGAATAAAACGAAAAAGTAAATAAAGAGAAACATTTATTTGGAACAAAAATCTATGACATTTATTAAATCGGTTCCTTTTAAAATATAATTTTATATTTTAGTCGTATGGCTGGCTTAAGCAAAATGGTTCCTTAAAACGTAAAAGTTTTAGATTAATGCAACATTTGTTTTACTGGCTGTCAACATGTAAGCAATAAAATATCTTGAGAATTTATCAGTCATCCATTTTTCTGTTATAAAAATGGGTGATCCCATTGGTAGAGAGGCGTTAGGCGGCTGTATGTCGAGAATTTACCACACGTGTACAAATTTTCCATTATATTAATAAAAATGTAGGTATAGGTTAATATAAGAACCATTACTCTTTAAAATAAAAAGTAAATCAAGTTTGTATGTATTTATATTATTAATTTTACAAGTACTGCCGTAAATTATTGATATATAATATAGGTCGGGTATGGGCATCCTTTTAACATATTTGTTAAGTATTAAGGCTTAAAGAAAAAGGAAGTATAATACTTACCAAAAAATAAGAATCTCCCCTTATGGATTCACCGTAATTAAAATCTAACTGAACAAAAATGCCACACTTCCACAACGCGGTATCTCCGGACATGCACTGCGTAGATGGATAGGTACCAACCAAACATTTTAAAACGCATTACCTACCAGTTTTTTTAGTCTATTTTGCCACTATTGGTGTAATTTAACTTTAATTGTGATACAATGTGCACTAGTAGTGTAAAGAAAAAAGAGCTCTTAGTAACATCAAAACAAACAAAGAAATTGGCATGCACTGTAGTGTACATTTTGTCACTATTTAACACATTAAGGGGTAATAAACACTCGCATTAAGTTTTTCTACCTTTTTGATTTATTTTAATAATAAATAGTGTGAATGTACCAATGAATAATGTTCATATTCTTTAAATGTGTTTAATAAAGTTAATAATCACTAAATGCCAACTAGTGTATTTTATACTTTTACACTTACAAATCAACTCTAATATTTTTTACTGTGTATCGACTTAATTGATCCGACACATTTCTAAAAGACCTTTTTCGCACCTTTTCCATAGCGCCAGTGAGCAGAGAGAGCATTTGCATAATATCTGTTTGAAAAGTGACAACGCTTTGAATAACCTGGCTCTGACGTATTAATGATTAATGGCCGACTTCTCGTGCTGTGCTCTGCCACTTGCGTTTTGTGTTCAAGCAATGACATATAAATTTACCGTGTTCATTCTCAACACCTACTCCCTATACTATAGGCGACCTCAATTTATATAATAAATCTATTAGTTTATATGCCTGCATCTAGGTAACTAGCTGATAAATTATCTCCGAATGTAATCTTATGTACTAGATATAATTCGCATTAACATATTATCCTGCTAATATGTTTATTCAGATAAGGAAATCATTGTTGAGCAGAACACTAACTATTGGAAGTAATATTTAATGTCCAAAATATTGCTTACTATATATATACTACACTCACAGGCAAAATAATCGATCCACACAAATTTTCGATGAATTTCAATCGCAAATAACTTTTTTATTTGATTGATTGATTTAAACGAATATTAAAGAATATTGTAGATAAATTATTGGACAATCGCTCACATTTTAAAAAATTACTTAAAAATAGACGTACGTTTATAATATACAGGTTTAAACAAAAATATTTTTTTAAGTCACATCTATTCTAAACAGTTTTGTTTTTGGTTCACCTCGATATATTTCTTTTTGAAAATATGGATTTTTTTAAAAAACATTGCAATTTCCAATATTTTTCTGGATGAACTAAGGTTGCTATGGTCCATCCATAGGCTATGGAGAATGACAGTGACAGTTTTGTTGAATCATCCCATACTTGGACATCATACATGGCTTTCAAAAGCTATTAAATTGTTTTTTGCAAATTAATGTTTAAATTTTGAGGTGTCTTCTTACTTTAAAAAATGGATATGTCTCCGACTGATGTTGCCAGAGCCATTAATTTAATCCAGGATGGACGGTCACAGTATTACGTGGCAAGTGTTTTAAACGTCACAAGATTAAAGTACCTACAAAGGGCAACATCATTCGAAGACATTTTTAAAAGTAAGAAGACACCTCAAAAGTAACACATTAATTTAAAAAAAACAATTTGATAGCTTTTGAAAGCTGTATATGACATGTCCAAGTATGGGATGATTCAACAAAACTGCCACTGTCATCCTCCATAGGCTATGGATGGACCATAGCAACCTTAGTTCTTCATACAGGAAAAATATTAGAAATTGCAATGTTTTTTTTTAAAAATCCATATTTTCCACGAAAATAAATATATCAAGGTGAATCAAAAACAAAACTTTTAAAAATAGATGTGACTTGATAATTAAAACTTAATTTAGAACAATATACGGTTTTGCCACTCTACAGAGTGTCTTAAAGTTATGGTAAAAAACATATTTTTGTTTAAACCTGTATATTATAAAAGTACGTGTATTTTTTAGTAATATTAATATTTGTTTAAATCCGATATCAAATAAAAAAGTTATTTGCGATTGAAATTTATCGAAAATTTGTGTGGATTGAATATTTTGCCTGTGTGTGGATTATGAAATTCTGAATTCAGCAATATGCAGATGTATACCTTTTGGGATGATAGTTTTGAGTAATACTAAATTTATAAGTTCGTTATTTTGAAAAAAAATTGTTTCCAAAAAAATATTTTTTATCTTCATGAATTTGATTTTTTAAGTCTTCTTAATTTTGTTTTTGTTTTAAATTATATGCTAACAAAGACTTGCTGTTTGTACAAAACACAAACAAAAAACTATCAAGTTTAACCTTGAAATGAAATATTTTGAGAAAGTTATTAAAAACTATAAGTTTTACACTTTTAATAATTAATATATCCGAAACTATCAGCCCAAAAGGTATAAATGTGCGTAATAAAAAAACAAAATTTTTCAATGAATTTGTCCATTGTTTTGCCGGTCACTGTATAGTTTCTTTGCTGTTGTTAAAGTAACCCGTAAAGTTTTATTAGCAATTGTATGATTTCAAATGGTACATTGACATTGTATTTTGAGTGGATTTGTGTTGTTCTCTTTAATGCTTACTGTTTTATTTTCTGTGTACATTTAAAAATTTCATTTGTGTATTATATTATAAACTTCTTATTACCCCAACAATAAACATGAATCTTTTGACTTTAGAGCTGCTGCAATGCATTTAGATGCTCGACTCGTGTCTCAGAGACAGCCATTGTTTACGTACCCGAGACCCAAAAATAAGTAGATGACAGACTTCGTCGTGCAACGCCCTGATAAGTCCTGCAATCGGCGACGAACCTGCCATCTGGCGGCTGCCAGGCATCCACTCGATGTCGCTACATATGTAGCTCGCGCCAAACGAAATTCCTAAGTTGCATTCAGAGAATTTTTCTATTTTCTTCTTCCTGGAGTGTTCGGTTGAGCGCAAAAGGGGAGTCGAGGAATTTAGCAAAATATGCACAAGGGTGTACTATTTTTATTTAATTAACCCATAGGGTCATTCCATCGTTTCGGGTGTTACATTTGTTCACCAAAGTCTAAATTTTTATGTATTTTGAAATAAAATTTTAGCAATTAAAGTGCCTTATTCTCTACGCTTTTAGTTGTTTTATATAAATTGTAAAATTAGTACAGTTAAGCATATAGGATAACGATTTTATTTTTAAGTAAAAAAG